AAAAAAAAAAAAAGAAAAAAAGAGGGAGAAGGGGAGAGGGGGAAGAGGGGGAGAGAGAGGGAGAGAGAGAGAGGTAAAAAAAGCCCCAAGGCAAAAGGTAGATAAAGAGAAACCAATTACAATAAGAGCTAAGCTAAGGCTGAACAGTCAAAACCAATAATAAGTTCCATATCATGATTTGGGAGCTGGTTGGTAGCCCACTGATATACTTTCTCTAGAAAGATTGCATCTACTGAGGGTTCCATAACACTCCTGAATAGCACCACAGACTTGCAACTAAATGTTCACATGCAAAGCCTGTGTGGGTACTTTTCATTTTTCTATCAGTAAATTGCTATAAACCCAGGTGGGATTTCCAGATTGGGGAAACATATTTTAAAAAACGGGGGAACAGAGTTCAAGAAATGGGAAAGTTTACAGGCAAGTTTCCACTCCAGAGCATTTGATTTTCACCTTAGCTTAGAGTCAGAGAGTTCATGTGCCCCTGTGGCCTAGATGAGCTGGTGGCTTAATGATATATCTACAGGCTTTTTTCTCCCCAGCTTCTACATACAGTCTGTGGAACATCTATGTTCATAAAAAAATTATTGACATTCTAATCTCAAGAAGTGGCCCACTATCATGGACAAAGCAGGAACCACATTTTCATACAGGCACACTCAGGTCCTGAAACCCTGCAGTGAAAACCCCATCCTGTACCAGGAATGCAGCTCAGTGGTAGACTTCCTGCCTAGAATCCCCCAGTGAGGGGCTGGGGTGTGGCTCAGTGGTAGAGCACCTGCCTAGAATCCCCCAGTGAGGGGCTGGGGGTTTGGTTCAGTGGTAAAGGGCTACATAAGTGCTCACCCCTTACCTCCATCTATTATTTTCATTTCAGGCCTTTTGTCCTATTACTTTTCTTCATGGCTATCCATTCTTCATTGCATAAAAATAAACAGTTCACAATCTGGGCACGGTGGTATGCACTTGTAATCCTAGCACTTGAGAAGCTGAGGCAGGAGGATCACAATTTTTAGGTCAGTCTGTGCTACATAGTGAGACTGAGCTCAAAAAAATCAAACCCAAACCCAAACCTAACCTAACCAAACCAAATTTCCCTTGCACCTCAAAGTCTGAAGGCTCCCACGTCATACAAAACTCTGGTGAAATAAGTATACTACACTATCCTCTGACTGAATTGTCCTATATTTTGGGAGGGTGGGGGATAAGGGGACACAGACCCA